TCTGAGTGCAGCATCACATTTCAAAAGTCTGAGTCTCAAATACGTTTTCTTGGCTATAGACATTCTGAACTTTGTAGTGCAGGTTTAAGGCATAAACTTTTTTACACTTTTAATTTTGAAAGAGACTTTTTTTTCCCCTGTTTCTAGCCTTTTATTCTAGAATACATGTAGGTGGTGATTTGCTGCTGTTTTAATAATAACTATCTACTGTAGATATCCAGCTATATTTGACAAGATAAAATTCAACAATCCTAAAATGTTCCTGAGCTTTGAAGTATATCATGAGATTTGCTTTTGTACAGAGCTATATGTTTAGCAAGTTGTTGTTCTTATTTTTTTAAACAAAGGCATAAGAAGTCCACTTCCATAGCAATGGTTTCAGCAGGTTATTAATGGCAAGAATTACTGAAATGCTCCAATAACTCAAAAGTGCATGGTGGCTTTTTAGAACCTACAAGTCTGTATGCTGATTTTATTCACTAGCTTATTAAATTGGGCCTGTTTCTTCTGTCAACCTTTTAAGTCATGGAAATGTAAAATGCTACCAAATCAGGCTGTTTTTTTTGCTTGGTTGTTTTTTTTTGTGCAATATTTTAAAACAGTATTTGCACCATGACAGAGTACTGAATCCATAAAAAAAAATAGGGCCCTTGTTTGCCATGAACATATAGCATGTATGTATTCAGTATAGATCTGCATCTGTTACAAGCAGAGAGCTATTCAGTATTCTGTCCCAGCAGTAACAGTGGATAAATTCTAAATGGCTATGCAGTACCATCAATTGGGAAGACTTGCATAGCATATGTTGACTAGTGATATGTATAAACAGTGGCATTAGTGGTGCCTAATAGCTCTTTATGGGAAATACAGATTATTTGATTTTATCCTTGGATATTCTTCTTTTGTAAATGTATCTGTAAACTGTCTATCCACTGAAATAGCTATATATTCTATTGGAGCAATTGGGGTGGGCACTAGGAACAAAGTATGGTGGTGCTTGATTTTGATTTTAATATTGTCTCTTTTCCCACCCTCTCAGTACTGTGATTATTGGTCATTTGCTTGAAAACAAAGCTTGCTGAACCTCTGACTCTGGATTCTGGAAAGCCTCTAATTTTGTTAGATGTTTATTTCATGCACAGTTGGTTAGGGGTATTTTATTCAACATGTATGGGGCAGGCCTTGCACATGAGAGACAAGCTGCTTATCTGAGGCTGGGGGAGAGGGGTTTATAAGTTGCTTATCTGAGGCTGGGAGGATGGGGAGGGGTCTTTGCGAGTGACAGTAGACTTTGGGTCATCAGTATTCTTTCATAACACAAATGTAAGTTTATGGCTACCGGATGCATGCAATTCGTTTCTAGACTATATCCATTAATTTGGGGTTATTTATGCTGTTTCCTGGAAATAGCATTTCCTGCTGGGGGTTGTTATTTTTTTTACTTGCAGGTATTTGAATAACACCTAAGGTCACCAGGACTGAACTGAACCATGATGCTGAAAGAGACTATAAGAGATCTTTGTGGCCAGTGAACCTACTTCCCTGTGTTCACAGGAAGCCATTTATTCAAAGGGTCCACACGATTGTTCACTCTCACTCTTGTCATGCCACTGCCACAAAACATCCTATGGTATAGAGTAGTGGTTTTCAACCTTTTTCATTTGCAAACCTTTAAAAAAAAAATTCAAATGGAGGTACAGACAGTGTGGGTATATACTTACTTTTGATTAATCATAGTCCTCTTTTGAGGACCCCTTAGACATGGTCTGCTGACCACAGGTTGAAAACCACTATTATAGAGGTAGAGTAGAGACCAAAGCACTTCCAATGCCTTAAGTTGCTATGGCAGAACATTTGCTAGGTTAACCTATGTGCTCAGGTAGTTCTAGACAGAGGACCAAGCTTGGGCTATGGAAGAAGGCAAAAACTGATGGTCCTCATCAATCTGATTTGAAAGGAAGGAGGAGAAAAAGCTTTCCTGCCCTCCAGTTTTCTTCCCATATGTATTTGAATGCATTTATATATAGTTAGCTTCACTGTTTATCCTACCCCCGTTTGTGGGGGTGTTTCCCACAGTGACAATAGAGAGAGATTTTAACCAAGTAGAAAGGTGCAATTCTTTTCTCTCTTTTCTGTATCCCAGTACTTCTTAAGAGACGGACATAGCCATGCTCTCTTTGTCCCATCTCCGTGTTGCAAGATCAATGGAACAGTAGGATATCGGAGTTGAAAATGCGGTTTAGACTTGAGCATTTTACAAAAAGAACCCTACTTACCATGAAAAGAACATTCTGGCTTTCCCGTGGCTTTCTGCAAGTGGAAATCAGACATCCTAAAATTGTTGACCAGACCTATGCATGTGTATGCTTAGAGACCACATAAATATACTAGGGGAAAGTAGAGGATGACTTGTGGGCTATGTTTTAACTCTGGCTGTTCAGAAAGTATTAATATCTGGGCTGAAGCTCTGGAATGAGGTTGTTCCAACCCTACAAAGGAGAGGAAATGCAGAAAGCTGTTGGAACCTGCTGGTGGCCTTGGTGCTGACCACAAGCTAGATCTGTTCTTACTCATTTTCAGGCCTGCACGTGTCACCGTGGCCAAATGGGTTTGTTGCAGTCCTGATCACTAAAATGCAGGGCCTTCCTGTGTGTGCATTTGTTGAGCGGGTTTTAGGTTTTGAATTTTTCTCAAGTTCAAATGGTTGTTTAGGCTGGCTTAGTTGTTTCAGTTGTATTCCCTGAATTCAGATAAATGCATAACTATTGGAGGGAAAAGGAAGACTCAGTGGCAGCCCCTCGCATAGATGCCTTGGCTGTTGCACCTTTCTCTCACTTGCTCCAGACCCACACCTCCAGCATGTAGGAAGCTTGTTCTGAGGAACTGCCAAATTTTTGTTCAGGATCAACTAAATGCTACCATAAATAAGGTCCTATACCTGTCCTAAAACACTGCAGCTTCCTACTAATGAAGGGTAGCTATATTTGGTGCAGTGCACATGCATGCACACATCAAAAGAATTTAAGGTTTTTAAATACTTAACCCTAATTCTAGCATTTAAATTTTGTTGTACAACCTTAATTTGGCCCCCTTGTGCGCACACATTATGCTGTAGCCACTAGTTGCATGATCACACTTGTTTTTTTCTCCTCTCCCACAAAAACCCTGCCTCCTTTCATTGAGGAACCTAGAGAAAGGGAATTTTATTTGTATTTCCTACAGCAGGGGCAGGCAAAATATGTCTGCAGGCCGGATCCAGCCTGTGGAGAGTTTTTGTCTGGCCCGCAGTGGGTCCCTTGGTCCCGCCTGGCCGAGGTGCTGCTTGGTCATGGAGCATCCTGCTGCCCCCTGGGGATGCAGTGTGGTTGGGGCAGCTTTGCGGCTGGACTGCCTTTCATGCTGGGGCTGCGTGCTGTTGGCAGTGGTAGGGAGGCCCCGCAAGGTGTACGGGCTTTGGGCTGGTGTGGGGCGGGTGCTGACTGGCTGTGAGGGGGTGCCATGCACACCCATGTACCTTCAAACCCCTCATCTGCAAAACCTACAACCACATCCTCCCTTACAGAGTCTCACACCTCACAAATACCGTACTTACCCACACCCTGCCCCATACTCCTCCCCACTCATCTGCACACCTC